ATTTTGATGAAATTTGGTACAAACGTGAAAACGTACGTTTATTCGAACGAGTTCGCGATCCAGCATGATCGGACCATGGGAACGGGGGTTTACGGGGGGTTTTATGGGGTAAAAATAGGTTTTTCCCATTTTTGACCCAAAAAACATAAAATTTAGCAATTTCTTTCCAAACCATTTTGTAGAGCTTAAAAAAACAAATAATTTAGTATATCGAAGCGTTATTATGCGCCTAATGGTTACGGAGAAAATTCCAAAAAATTGTAAATGTAAAATTCCCATGTTATTCTTATGGAGAATAAGTAAACTGTTGTAGTTTGCTTGTTTGTGAACATATTTTGATCAAATTTGGAAAATGTTTTTATTTCTTACTAACTATTCACGTTTTACAAAAAAAAAAACAGTTTTACCCTCCCTGATGCAGCAAACCTAAGTACTTGTTAAACTAATTCTATTTAAATCAAGAATAAATGTTATATTTTTAAGTAGACATTTCAGTGTAAATCCAATCAGTCAAATGGAAATTCGCTTAGTCTGCAGATTTGCTGCGGCGGGGGTATTCCTTTTAAATATGAACTCTTATAAGGTTAACATGGGAACCTCCAGAGCCACTGGGGAGGTTCTATATGTCAATCGGGAATGTGAGCTATCATCACACCAAATTTCAGCCCAATCCAACCAGTATTTTTCGCTTTTACTTGTCACAAACATCCATCCATCCGTCCATACATCCAAGCTTTCTCACTTAAAATATTAGTAGGATTTAGAATATTTCCATGTTATCCTTTGTTTTAGATGAGCGGAGGCAAGTTTTCTACAATGTATACATTCTCTGATCTGTCAAAACTAATGAACAGAATATTGGAAAGTATGAGAGCACATTATCAAAAGAAGAACGAATTAAGTGATTCGGACTTACTACAGCTGGTTTCTGTGTGTGGAAGTGTCGTAGAAAAAGCACTAATACTCCTAGAGACCTCTACGATTGTGAGACTAACAAGAGAAAAACACACTCTTAAGGTGTTTAGAGTGAAGGGGTCATCAGGTGCTGAATACCTTACATTTCCTGAAGTAAACGTTTGTCAGTGCAATATGTACAAACACAAAGTCTGCAGAAATGATCCGGTGCATATCACATGCAAACATGTACTTGCCACTAGACTAGCTGAAATAACAGGCAAGCTACAGGAGGAAAAAGTTTCAGCTATTACGATGTTTGATATCGTTGCTGGTGATTTGTCACAAGTCCTTTTCATGGACTAATTTGATAGTAAATATTGTTCTCTTCAATGTTAATGTTACCTCAGATAACCAATGATTGCTACTACGCTTGTAAGTTAATAAAGATTGATTTTGTATTATTTTGTATAATTTTTATTCATTAACAAAAGCCATTTGTCTATACATTAAAAATTTGTGGTTTTTCTTTTCCGAGTCTGTTTGGCTCTTCTATACGACAAAATTTCTTAAATTTGGTCCTAAAGGTATGAACTCGCAAACTTGCCATCAAGTATTTCATTCATTTATCTATTGTACTCAACCAAAAAAACTTAAATTAGATTTCTTTTTGAACTCTTACATCAATTAGAGATGTGTTTCACCAGTTCTAATCACATTATCATTTATTATGTTTTAGTCTATGAACCTTCAAAGAAATACCAGCTTTTATTTCAGCTATTGACTATTAATACCGGACGTTTCTGATATCCTGCTCCACGAATCATCAATATAATTTTATAATTGTTTTAGGACTTATCTGCAATCAATGACATGTGTAGGCCTAACTCCATTTTTTTTCGGTTATTTTATATGTCTCTGTCTTAAAATACTCTTATAAATACAAAGCTTTCATTTGAGATATTGACCATTTGAATCACTTAATCTCAAGATACTATAGTACTCAATAAAAATATATAAATTTGACTGTTTTTTGGATATGGAATTCAGGTTTATTTACTCAATTTTGATTACACTATCCTATATGTTTTGATCTAAGATCCTCCAGTGAAATACCAGCTTTTATTTGTGTTATTGATTATGATTATAAAGATCATATGTACTTAAGAACACTGCTTAATCCCGAATAACCAAGATTGTTCCAAAAATGGGGTTATTTATCATCGATTGACTAACCGTTGTTTCCGACGGGTTTAACCTAGTCTACTTTGAAAAATATACAAGTATATTATATTTCAAACCAATCAATATTAGAAATATTAATTCATTATTAGAAACTTGGCACAAATTTACCTTTTTTTATAAAATGTTAATACAGTGTTCCCCTTAGTCCAGGGACTACTTTCTCTAGGGCACCTATTTGTGTTGCCAGCTGAACCTAAAAACGTGTTGTATAGTGTTTGAAAGACTAATTATTTATACGAGAGGTCGTCCAATGGTCGAAACTCGACCAAAAATATGTAATGTAAAACTGTAAATAAAACATGTGATTGGAGTTTCTTCCATTTGTTTTGATTTTCTGTTTATATTTCGTTGTTATTTCGTCACCAGCATGGCAACGCATAAGATCCATGTTAATTTTTGCAAATTTTTAAACTCATTTTTTGTGCTTATCTTTGAGCCTATTTAAATTTATAAAGGGATTCTGCACACCTACAGGAAAATAGCTTTCTAACGGTATGCGTAGATTTACCCCACGATGCACACAAGCTGAGAAAAAAGGTTTTAAAGAAACATGCTTGCCTATTAATATATAGATAGATGCTTTACTAGCAGAGTACCCGTCCTTCGTAAGGGGTTGGCAAATAAGTATAAAATGCTTATTGCAGTTATACCCGACCTTTGCGTTTGCGATGTGAGAAAACACGGTTTGAGAAAATTTGCTTCCTCAAATTTACGGTATGCGATAATATTACACATCTACCATAGCCATAACGTTCTACTACTTCACCTACACAATAGAGAAAGATAGATTATTCAAAATTCGCAAAATATCATAGATTATTCATGAAATTAAAAACATAAACATAACTGTAAACAATCCTACTTTGACAGTTCTCATTATCAAAGTTTTTTGTTGCTGCTTAGTTCAAATTAGTTGTTTTCATAAATGATAAAAAAAAATAGTGCTGCACACTGTTGGTGAATCTTATAATTTTATAGTGACTGTAGGGAAAATATAATGTGTAACACGAGTGCAAAAGGCCTTTCTGCACTCGAGATCATTCCGCACTGGCCTGCGGCTCGTGCGTCAACGTTGCTCTCGTGTGCAGCAAATCAAATCAAGTCATTTATTTAGCCAACATTTTAACAAAACAAGTTGCATTAGCTAAGTCACATGCATTAGCAAAGTGCCACTTTTGCTCACTAGTTACACAAATAGGAGTTACTCTATAAGTTATCAATAGACGCCTAAATAGATCGTATTGGACTTCAAAGTTGTTCGGTTTTTTGGGACACCATAATAAGCTATGGTAAATAATATTTAGTTCATACTTTATCACAAAGCTGAATACTAAAATGTGTTTTTATTTTACAAGTGTGTAGTAGTTTGGAGCTCCTGTCCTGTTCAAAGAATGGTATAATAATATAATAAAATATAACTATAATAAATCTTTAATACAGATATATGGTCTCATATTTAACACATACTTTGCTATTTGAAGAAATCCACATATGCTTTCCTTCCTTTGGCAGTGACAGGATCTAATTAAATTAAGGGGAGGTTCGGATCAAGCCCTGGATGACATAACGTATATTGACAGTGATTTTTTTAAGTCTGGAGTTTTAAAGACAGTATTGTGTACCTACATTTTAACTTTCTCTGTTTACTTGAAGGAATAGAGCCAGCAATCGTACCAATTAAACTTGTATTTTTATGACGGACCGTATATATTTATGTGTAGGCTTATATCATAAAATAAGGACATTAATTTCAAACCATATCTCAAATATAAATAAGTTATGTATGTATAAATTCTTTTACTTAGCCTGGTCAGGTAAAGAGTGGATGGACATTACGTTCAAAAACCAGACAAGGAGAAACAAATATATACTGTCAATTTTCATTAATTAGGTACCTTTTTATTACCTTCGTTTTTGTATGAACCTTTACCAAGAACAACGCAACAAAATAAGGTGCGGTGGTTAATATAATTCAAGTTTTCAAAATAATTGATAGAACACCAAAACTATTGTCAATTTTACTTCAGCTTCAGGTTCTTCAAACTATTACAGTAGGGTGTTCATTAAATAAACGAACACGCAGCGTGGTGTAATTTAATACACAAGGGGAAGGCTAATCAACCCAAAAATATATGCAATATGCAAGGTTAAAAATATGTATTAATGCTTTACGAATACAAATTTTCAATTGATGATGTTGCAAGCTGAAATTCAGCTTTGTAAGATTCGTTTGGATTCCATTAACTAGATTTATGATGCGTCAATTGCCAATAAGTCAAGCAAGTCAATATAAGTCATTTATTGGGTTAGATTGACAATTACATGCATCGGAAAAGTCTTGACTACAAATAAAATTTATAAAAAAAATATATATATAAATCAAATTAAAAGTGGATTATTTACAATTTACAATACATACAAGTCAAGCAAGTCAATATAAGTCATTTATTGGGTTAGATTGACAATTACATGCATCGGAAAAGTCTTGACTACAAATAAAATTTATAAAAAAATATATATATAAATCAAATTAAAAGTGGATTATTTACAATTTTTAACAAAGGCTACCAGTCTGTTACTGGACTATGTAAATTTAAATTCCAACAAACCTTTCTAGCCTATTACCGGTCACTCTGTAATTATAGGCCTCTACCGTATTCAAAGTAGGCAACCTTATCAGGCTCAACACGCACAATGTCTCACCTATCAAGTAAGAATTAGATCAGATCCCTTTGCTGGTGCTCTAATAACCACCGGAAATTATGAAGCAAGATTTTATAACACGCTACATTGTCATTCAACGCAATCCTGGAGCTATAAAAATGAATGGTCTAATATATCGATCTGATTTAGTGATTTACCTTCTGCAATATCATCGGCCTGTTGTCAAGCCTGGCGGCCGTGTAGACAGTGGCTGAGGTGGAAGGACCGTCCGAGGCTATACGGCCCTGGTTCACCCTCTTCTGGAGGTTTTCCAGAGCGCGGGCCTCCTCGCGACGACGGGACGGCGGCCAGTGCGCCCCCGTGGTAGGCCCGATGCCGCCCCCAACGATGGACAATTGGGATGAGTGTTGATGGTCCAGAAGGCGCCGGGACGCCGTGGCCCGGTTCCTTGGGCCTGCGGACCCACCAGAATCGTTACCGAGCTCCATGACAACATACTGCGGACTGGCGAGGATAAGGACGAACTATCGGATACTCGGTTGTACGTGATATCGATATTTTCGTTCATCGCGTAACTTTAATCGTTGAAGTAGGTGCCGGGTGCGATATCGTATTAAAAGGGTAGCCCTGTTAATTTTCCTTATATCAAAATAATTCCACCTTTTCTACATCCAAAAACCCCAAGGACTGAAAACATTCCAATAAATACTATTTTGTAACCTCGGTATTGATTATTAATGAGAGTAAAATCATTTTACACTTCATCCAAATGCCTTCAAAATATAAATGCGACTACCAAAAAGAAGCCTCTGTTTTCTAATGTACAATACCAACTATTTACACGAGAATATCAGGGTCAATTAAAGGCTAAAGCCTCGATAAAAATTACAATGAAATATGTCCAAACAATCTAAATATTCCAAAACATTAGGCTTCAGATTAAAGAACATATCAGTTAAATAAATTTATTTATACGCAACTGGCTGCAAGCGAAATATTTTGATGTGTACGAATACGAATATCTTTTACTAATTTCCTCCGCCAATGTCACAAAACGATATATCGTTTCGATGTATTTATCGATATGTCACATCGCACCAGTTATCGCAGTGCGGTCCGCCACCCTCTCGCCCCCTTTGCAGATCAATCTCCCTCATCAGCTGATTGCCCCCCACACCACCCCTGTTGTTTTCTGTTCGGTTAATTGATAAAACTACGTAAACAAGCTCTTTATAGACTGTGAGTAAACGCAATCAGGCGCTTCCTTTCATCCGAGGTTATAATTACAACTATCGATCGAAGTTCCTTCTTATAGCATAGATTAAAGGAGTAGTGTCTGCTCTTTAATAAGTGCTTATAGTTTATCTGACAGTGATAATACAGTTGGATTGATGGGATACAGTTGGTTGTTGACTTCGTTCCAATTAGTATTTAATTAATATTCAAATTAGGATTTAATTTAATATTGGAAGGTCATTAGTTTTATGGAGGTAATGATTGGGGATAAATTATGATACTTGAGACAGTTATATATTTAGTTCACTCAAACGTAGAATGTGGATACGTATCGGTTAATGATTTCTTTCAAAGTTCTGTCAAAGTCCATAAATTGATTATGGATGTTTGAAGGTATTCTAAAAATATTAATAAAATCCTTCTGTAACATTACAGGAAACATAATCAACCCAACACTTTTGTTTTATTCTAGATCACTCGCAAATGATGAGGAAAACTTTCATACTTTCTTATAAAATACTTTACTTTCTTATCAAATAGGAGGACGCCAGTTACGCCAAAGTGGCGTCACCATCTTAAATTATTGATTGAACTTTAGAAAGGTTGGTTGTAATAACAATGAAAGTATAGAACTTTAACTATTTTTTTATAAAATTCGATATTTTATGCTTTGTTGCGTAATCTAGAAGAAAATGTAATGATTATTTCAACTATTAAATATTATATCATAGCTTTAAATTGTCGTTAAAAGTATTTTTCATACATTTTTAGCATAATTGTTTTGATATTAAATTATTAATTTTACTTCTAAAATACAGAGCTTTTATTTCAATTAAAATATACGATGAAAACCTTCCCAACGCTTTATTTAGTGGGAAAAGGTAAACATAACGATTCAAGCTAAGAACCTTCCGTTACAAAAAGTCAATGCATAATACGATTACACACTAACTACACTCATATACAACTATCACATCAAGGATGCAATTTTTAATAACAATTATTAATTTAGTTAGTAACTTACATTTACACTATACGTTTTGTTTGTTCCTATTTTATTTGTTATGTGCCTAACAATGTTTTGTTTAGCAGCCATATATATTCTTAACAAATTTACCGAAATAGCAGTAAGAACCAATGAATAACCATTGTTATTGGGATTGTTTATTTTTATTAAAAAATGTCTCTGGAAATCTATAGAAGTACAACTTAACTGCGCCTGCAAAGACTAAACAGACTCCCCATGCATTACTGCCAGAGGTTGCCGCTTTGCTGTTGCAGGCGCCATGGATCCACGATGTAAATATAATCTGTTGCTAAAATGAAAGCAATTATTTATCATTTCAAATTGTTACAATAGATATTATTCAATAATGCATAACAGAACCAAGAGTCAAAAATATGGCTGTTGGTTCACTTGACCCTTATGAAACTGCACTAATCTATACAAGTTAATTATTGGTGTTCGAAATATATTTACAAATTATGTTAATATTTACAATAATAGGATTAAAATTAAAAGTTAGCTCTAATATTTCCCTACAAGATGGCAGTCTTATCAAAATATCAATCAGGATGGTGTTTGGTTCCTTTATGCGTAACACCGTGCAATTATACCTTGGATATTAGATAAGAAACGGAATGGATAATAATAATTAATAATAATGGACATATTTCACCGTCAAATAGCCCGAACATAAACGTAAACAAATGGTTTAAATGTAAATATATTTGTTTTATTATTCAAACAAAACTGTCAGAAAACGTGGATACCATTATGTTCATGTTATCGGTATAGGATTCGGGCCAGTGACGTATTTTTTAATGCTTACGAACCAGTTTTTTATTACTCTTTGTAAGTTTAATTGATCAGCTGACTTCCAAAATACGTTTGTTTATTGTTTTTGTTATATATTTTTTTTGTAACATTTTATTTAATTTACAATCTGTAAAAAAAAAATAGAACAATAAGCAAATTTGATAAAATTTAAACACAGTAGTTAGTTTTTGTCCAACAATAGAGCTAACACACAAACTTTGCATATTTGGTACAAAGTTTAAAGTCTAAAAACGACTACTTAAGTCCAAAACATGGCATCTTTTTAATCTGTACTAGCTGTGTACCCGTTCTACGCACGGGGATCTTATAATATTCAGTTGAAACCTTCTTATATAACGAACAGCAGTTGGTTTGCATATTTTAAGATATGCTGGCCAAACTATTATACATAGCTTCATTTTATGTTGTTTTTTGTTGTTCCGGATCGGTATGACAATCAATAAAAGGTTAAATTACCTCTGTGTCTGCCGGTCGATCCTATAACGGTAGGCTTACTTTTATTTTTACTATCTGATCTCGTTTGCATGGCTCAATCACGTCCTGGTTGAAGTTCGTTCGCTACGCTCACTCACCTGTATGTTGGAGCTCGTTCGCTGCGCTCACTTTCCTTCAGGTTAGCTCGTTCGCTACGCTCACTTGCCTTCAGGTTAGCTCGTTCGCTACGCTCACTCGCCTCCAGGTTGCAAATTAGCTGTTGTCATAAATGTAAAAGAAATAATAGTGCTAGTGCTGCACCCTGTTGGTAATCCTTGTAACTTTAATGCTATTGAACATCACAGAACAGAACCAACTTGTTTAATTGAAACAGCTGTTAAGATTCAATAATTTCATTTCTCATAAGGTTAACATGGGCTTCCAGAAATTCCACGTCAAAAATCGACAAAAACTTGATTTTCAAGGGTTTACTGTTAAATATCTAACTGTCTCATATTCGATGAAATACGTCTAAAACCATCTCATATATGTATAGTATTTGGAAAATAAGTTTCAGGCGGGACAGTGCTATAGTTATTGAGGAGTAGTTGTAATAAAGTGCGTATTTTAGCGTTACCAAGAGAATGACAGATAGACAGACAGACAGACAGACAGACAGACAGACAGAAATTGAGATAAGGTTTGATTCGGTTTCTCTGACCTATGAAATGTAAAAATAACCAAAAAGTTCATTATTCTAAGCAATGTACAGACAAAACTCTAATTTTATTTATATAGATGTATAGTTGCTGTCGTCCAATGTTACTGTATTGTTTTGATTGTAACCAATTCAATTTTAATATATGGTGATTTTACATTGTGGCGGTGTGGACATGCCAGGAAGAATACAAAGTGACAATTTTGAAGATATGGAAATACAGAAAGTAGCTACAACGCTGTGAACAAATTAAATTTCGACAGATTTAATTCAGACAAAAAAGAATGTGAATACTGGCACTGACTGCAGTTTGCATAATCGCCGCTAGATGCCACCACCCGGTGTAGCTAGTTCACCTCTTCTCCGCTAGATGTCAGTGAAACATATACCTCTATATCCATCAAAGTTTATTAATTATTTAATAATATTAAGGTTCGAAAACAATTTAGCTCTAAGCTAAAAGAAAAATAACATTCATTAACTATAAACTAAAGGACAATATAGCGATTTAATGCCGTGGTAGTTTACTATGAATCCTTTGTATCAGTTGACACTCGCAGGGATTTTTGAGTTGTAAGAACAAGACTAGCTGCTAACCGCTCCACCATTAACTATCTACGAGACTTGTTGGTTTATGTTACAACTCTGTTTAATTGTTTGAAAAGCCGAAAGTCGAGTCTCTTACCTGAGGCCGATGATTGGCTTAATACTCATCTATCTCTGACCACTCACTTCGTTGGTGAGGGTTGTGTTGTGTTGTACTTCACTTGTATAATTTTTAACATTTTTTTAAACAAGTATAATTAAAGTACATTAAAGTATTATATTGTCTGTGTTCTAACCGCTCAAATTAAATCGGCTTTGAATATAACTCCATAAACGAAATTATTGTTTGTAAAGCCGAGAGTCGGGTCTCTTACCTGAGGCCGATGATTGGCTTAATAATACTCATCGATCTCTGACCATTCACTTTTATGAGGGTTGTGTTGTACTTGTAATATTTAAACAGTGTGAATGTGTCCTAGTCACCCGACAAAGTTGGCTTCCTTGTACTGTTAATAGTACAGAAAGCTGCTAATTGCTGCATATTTATAGTTTGTCATACGGTGTATACTTTGGCTCACATCAGGATTCCAACGAATTAACACAAAACAGAGTAGTTATATTATGCACGTAATCCGTGTACGCTTGGAAATAGGCTGGCAACACTTAATATAATACTATATTAATAGATAATATAGTATTAGTATATAATAATACTATGAGCAGCTGATTGACTATTATAACTACTATTTAACCTGCCATTCCGTGTTTATAGTTTCGGTATTTCTGAACTTTCTGAACTTTTTTTAAAACATTCCTACGATCTTAATTAACAAGAAAACACCTTTAAAGCATTTTTTTTACTCGCGTGAAGATGGTCCCGCCATAATGAGCACAAATTATAAAAACATATCCATAATTTAGTGCTGAATTTGTGCTTCTCAAAGGTATATAAAAACAATTGTGCTCAACAATAACACACCAAAAAATTATAAAAACTGTTGGCGGGGCTAACTTCACGTTCAGCCCGCCACCAAATGAATTAACAATGTATTATACATAGAAATTTAGCGCTAATTTTGTGTTACAACAATATATAGTTTTTATAATATTTGTGCTCTAAAAACCTTCGAGTAAATAAGGAAAAACTGCCGCCGGTGATAACATCATCCACCCCACCACATTAAGCAAATTGGTTGAAAGTGGTGTCACGATTTAGTGCTCATTTTGTGCTACAACCATATATAGGTGTTATAATTTGTGCTCTAAACACACCCGAGTAAATGAGGAAAATCTGCCGCCAGTGATGACGTCATCCGCCCCGCCACATTGAGCAAATCCGTTGAAAATAGTCATTTGGAAATTTCTTATTGAACCCCCCATATTTTATCATAAGTTTAGAGCAAAAATGTGAGGAGTAAATAAATCTTAAAATTGCATCTACATTCCTAAAATAACATAAAATACAGTTTTAAACTTTCCAAGTCTGCTGCCATTTTGGAAAATAAATGCAATTTTTGAAATCAATAATAGCTTGAATATTTTTTACGATTCTTTTTTGTGTAGTTGCAATTTTAAGACTATTTTACTCTTCACATTTTTGCTATAAATTTACTCGTTTAGGGGCTACATTATATTAAAAGTACACCGGTCTTTTTTCATAGGCTGCAACTCCTAAACGAGTGGGTTTACGGAAAAAATGTCAAGGACAAAATAGTTTTTAAACTGCATTTTCTACCCGAAAACGTGATAAAATATAGGGTGTTCCATAAGAAATTTAAATTAATATACAAACATCACATTTACATATTTTTCAACATCTTTTAAAAATAAGGGAATGTTCCCCACTTTAAGTTTACTGTAAGATGTATCGTAACAAGATCCTAATGGTGAAACAGTTAAATAAAACACCCTGTATACTGTTTGAATTTAATCTAAAAGTGACTATTCAACCAATTTGCTCAATGTGGCGGGGTGGATGACGTCATCACTGGCGGCAGATTTTCCTCATTTACTCGGGTGTGTTTAGAGCACAAATTATAACACCTATATATGGTTGTAGCACAAAATGAGCACTAAATCGTGACACCACTTTCAACTAATTTGCTCAATGTGTTGGGGTAGATGACGTCATAACCGGCGGCAGTTTTTCCTCATTTACTCGAAGGTTTTTAGAGCACAAATTATAAAAAAAAAACTATATATTGTTGTAGCACAAAATGAGCACTAAATTTCTATGTATAATACATTGTCAATTCCTTTGGTGGCGGGCTGAACGTAAAGTTAGCCCCGCCAACAGTTTTTATAATTTTTTGGTGTGTTATTGTTGAGCACAATTTTTTTATATATACCTTTGAGAAGCACAAATTCAGCACTAAATTATGGACATGTTTTTATAATTTGTGCTTATTATGGTGGGGCCAACTTCAATTCCACCCACAGCACTATTTTTTTTCTTGGATTTTTTCATTAGCAACAAGTTTGGTTGGTTTGGTTATGTTATGACAGTTAAATTTTATAATAAAAACATTATAAAATTGAATTTGAGCCATTTACAGTTTTATTTTATGAACAGAAATATTTTTTTCAATTAAACCTTTGTTTGATTTTTCATTATCAGCAAGTCTGGTTAGCTTGGTTAGGTTATGACAGTTTAATTTTATAATTAACAAATTATAAAATTTAATTTGAGGCATTTCTAATTTTATTTTATGAAAAATAGTTATTTGTGCAACTAGTGAGAAAAGTGAGCAATTGACTCACTCGAGAGAAATCCTTACTCACGAGCCGTAGGCGAGTGAGGAATGGTTTCTCGAGTGAGGCAATTGTACTTTGAACTCGAGTTGCACATTATACTTTTCCTACAGTTACCATAAAACAAATAAATTGGTGATGAAACATAACCTATTTTTACACAGACGTAAACTTTTAATATAACATTTAACGTGAAGTGACAAATACAACAGTACAACAGCTGACCAGCTGATTTACAGCCAGTGCTGCCAACGTATTTCGCGTGCATACGACGTTGCATGTTACGCGCTCACTATTTCGTGCCTTCAAGTTGCAAATCTGGAGTGAGACAAAGTAATTAGAGTATTCGCTCACTGATGAGCGAATTGGCCACTTTGCTTTCTCAAATCAGTGAGAGAACATGTACATTGTTAGGTAACTGTAGGAAAAACTAATTTTAAGCCTCCAATGACACTGTTGGCAATACAAATCCTGAAAAACAAATTGTGCAGTTGGTTTAGTTTCTGTAAACAAACAAAGAGTTGAACGAACTCAAGAGACCTTGCCGTCAGACCGTCACCGCCTTTTTTTCGTCTGTCTAGAAACGGGACAGCGGAATTGAAATCCGAACTAAACATCTGACCGCGGGTTTCTGCTTCTGCCATCACCGAGCTTGTTTTAAATTACGCGGGAACAAAGTACAGTAGCCGTTTAATGTTAAATATAAGTCTAAATATGTTAATTGAAAATTATTTCTAGAATAATTATTAAAAATTACAAATAACTGTATAAGTCCAAATAAAGATGAATTACATAAAAATCCTAACTATTATTACTAGTTGTTTACACTGTTTAAATAACAAAAGTATAGAAAGAAAAAGTTTAATTCCATGTCATTCTAAATTATAGCTTACAGGTAGGCCTATTTTCAGCTGTGAACATTTTAAAACTAGTAACATACCTCGTGTTAAAATTCCTGGTCTTCTTTTTCAAAATAAATTCTTCTTCAAAAGCGACAATTTAACACATATTATATTACACACTAACACACACAAATAATATTTACATTTATTTACAACATTTTCTTCATCTTGGAAACTGTAACAACAAAATGAACATAAAAATTAGGCTATTTTAAATGAGAAATATCTTATTGTGAATTTTCTATAGGCCTACTTGTTTATTTTGTTTGTTTGTCAGTGTCACAAGTTACTCAACATGGGTCTACGTTTATGTTTGTAGGTTCTCTGTGAAAATATCTGGGATGTCAGTGTGTGTGTTCAAGTTCAAAAACTTTTATTTCAGTAAAAGATTTCGCTAGCATACCACTGGGCCGAGTGAATACAAGTACAGCAAGTATTTACTTGCGAGTAAATACTTGCAAGTATTCATCGTTCAGGTAATCTCTTGTGAATAAAAGCGACTCTTTACTTGCAAGTAAATCCTATACTCTAATACGAGCAATGTTTGCTTGTATGTATGTATGCTTGCACCAAGATCTCGAAAACGGCTCCGACGATTGTCTTCAAATGTTGTAAATAGTTTATTTTTGGTCTAAAAACGAGTTTATTGCAGTTAGAACTGCCAACAAAATTCTAATTACGTAGAAAAATGAAACTGAAAGTCTTATGGGTTGCTAAGTAACCATAATAAGGTCAATGGTTTGTGAGCTAGGTCAAAAGTGTGGCCTATATGAGTCTCACAGTACTCTACTTCGACATTTCCATTTTCAAAAAACGTTGCCTTTATTGAGGAAGGACAGAAACAATTTATTTTGCAGGAACCCTGTATCTTTGTTTACCTTTTTCTTTTGCCGGATATAGGCTTAGGTTCAAAGTTTCCCGATCTATTGCACTTAAAATAAATTCTCTTCTTACCAGATAGAATCCTCTGTCCTGTTTGTTTTGTGAACAACACATTTTCCTTTTCCTCCGTCTTGCTTTTCCAAGTGTAGAAATCTGACACACTAGAAAAACTAAGAACTGACTTGACAAGTTGAATTTTGTGCAGATCTGCAAAATGTGTCTCTATCTCCGCTCTACTAAATGCACTGTTGCATACGCTGCAAATGGTATTTCTTGGTATATTCTTCTCCTCCTCAATTATTAATTCGTGAACTTCACGAAGGTGTCTAATCAAAACCCACCTATTAACAAAAGGCTTATCGCAAAACTGGCACACATTCATTGTTGACAGTTGACACCACGCGACAGACAGCATCGAATTTGACGTTTAAGTTCGGCACTGCTCGGTAAGATTCGGAAGCGTTCGGCACAGCGCAGTAGTGGGGGAAGCGTCGTTCCGATTTCAAATTCCGCTGTAGACGAAAAAAGAGCGGTGACGGTCTGACGGCAAGGCCTCCTAACCTAACGAACTCAGACTCCAGTTCCACTCCAATCCAATTCCAGTCCAGGAGTCCAGTCCAGTCCAGACAGTCAGAGTCAGACATCTATCTCTTTTTTAGTCTTTCGGCATTTCACATTCACGATTCACGTTGATTTTCTACTTTTCTATTCAACTAAATTAAGTTAAATTCTATCATTGTCTCTTGTCTTACCTCTACCTTGCCTTCTCAGTTCTCTCTTTTATTCTACTGACTTGTGTTCTGCATAAACCAAATTCGCCCGTTTAGGCGAACTTGTTTCTATTCGATTACATATTATAACCCTGCAAGGATTATATTTAGACAATGTCTACATCGGAAACCGATCTCAGTTCAATTTCTAAAATGAAGGTTAGTATTCAATTAGGCTAGGCCTAGGCTATCCATTTTGTTTTATTAAGGTACAAGGCCTATGTATGGTATTGCAATTTGGCCCACTCTATTTGTCAAATAGCCTAGGTCTTTATAGCGATTTTAATTAAATAAACACAATCACAAATCAATTTTAACATTGAGTTCTTTATGCATGGGCCCCAGGCCCACCCCCCTGACCTCCCCTGGGCATTAGGCTTAGGCCTACCTCCCATGAGAAAACACTGAAATAACTTAACTTAGCCTACCGTAATGAAGTTTGTTTTGGAATTAGAAGGATCAATGTATCCAAATTAATCTGTGCTAAATTAACATAAGCTTTGGCCTAATGAACAAAATACCCCCACCCCAGCAAACTGCTGACTAGGCTAAGTGAATTTCCTCTTAGGGCCTAGGTACCTGGATTGATTTTAAATACAATCTATTTAAATAAAATTAGGTTTAACGTGTAGAGTTACCTACCTAGGTTTGCTGGTACAAGGAAACAATAGGCTAAGTGTGGTTTTTAGTAAAATATTAATAGCTTGGTATGAAATAAATTTGGCAAGTTTGATCAAACGCAGAGGATACGCGTCCGGTAATCGGACGTAGATTAAGCATTCGACAGTTAGCCTACTGTCATAACTTAACCTAACCTACCAAACTTGCTGATAATGAAAAAATCAACCGAAGGTTACATTCTGTTCAAAGAATTGTAAATGCCGAAAATTCTATCAAAAGGTGTACCGATACAGTTAAGAAGAAATGGCATTCAAAGCAAAATCTGTGGCAAAAAGTTAAAGATAGGCCTACCATTGGGATTTGAACCAGGGACCTCATGCATATCAACCGAGCACTCTATCCACTACACCACGAACTAGCTGTACATTGTATCATTGTGGTAATGGCGTTCTGGGCTCCCACAACCCGGTCACGTCACTGCCGGACACCTAATCCACACCAGGTTACCGGACTCGTATCCTCTGTGTTGATCAAAATCTAAGATCTATAAAAGAGGAACACTATGTATGTATACATGTATGTACGTACCTTATGGACTCCGAAACCGCTCGACAGATTGTAATGAAACTTTCAGGCATTAAACTTACCAAGCATTATTCAAGGAAGGTTTGTGTGAAGTTTGGTGCAGATCCGTCAAAAGGGCCCAGCCCCAGAGGGTTTTAAGTGGGCCAATGTCAGACTTTTTGAACTGTAATGTTTACAAATAAATATAACTAGCTGTTACCCGGAAACTGTTTTGTAGGTTTGAATAAGTAGGCTAATCACAACATGCTGTATTGTCATGATTTGAAATAGTGCCACTATGTTTCCACAGAGTGCTAGTGCAGCACAGAAAACTATTTTACTTTTGGATAAATCCAAATATATTAAACCCCAATCGCAGCACACCTGTGCACTCAACAACGTTTAAATTCTCCAATGTTAAATATGTAAACATAAAAACCTTTATCAAAAATATTATAAACTATTTAAAAGGGATGGCAATGCCTTAATATTTTTATCTTTTGTTCTATACCCACACAATCTAACATAAACATCTACTTAACATTATTAAGTTAATAATAATCAAGCGTTCTATCTCAGGTGTTCAAATGCCTCTCAATTTGTCATTAACCCACCACATTACTGTCATTAAAATAAGGAACTCCAATAATACTATTGCGATCAACTTAAATCCAACGAAGATGTGCAATGTTACCCGCTGATGATTAAAGAAATGAAACCATAGGCCTAATTCATTGAGAAGCAAAAATTATCAGTGGTAAGTTTAAAGGAGAAATAGTCTTAATCCCAAAAATACTGATGATTTCATCTGAATTACCCTCTAAATTTTAACAACTACAATTTCCTTTGTGTCTTGCTTTCGCAATACATCATTAGGCCTATAAGGCAGTAGGGCAATCCCTGACCATCACCGGTTTAAATTTAGAAAATGCGTGCTTTTCACGTGGATAGCTGTATGTTGCGTGCTCACGTGGTTGGTAGGTACGCCTAAAAACTAATATAATATTTATACACCTAATGAAAAAACAGAAAACATTGTTTCTCCACTGGCAATTAAGTAGGCTAAATATTCAATTTTTATTTTTGGTAGGCTCTACTCTTTTATTATTCATCGTATAGAACAAATTACCATTCAAAACAATAGTGGTTAAGCGCAGAAACTCGCGCCGGGTAACTGCTAAGTAGTAGGCCTATATCCATAAACAAGCAAACTAAAACATTTTACAATATTCTCCATAAGAATACGGTAACATTGGAGTATTAAATTTAAAATTTTGTAAATTCATTTATGTGATCCATACTTATAATTAATTTTTGGATACTGCAAACAGACATTCCATTTACGTAAACCAAATACCAAATTGACATTTGATACTGCAAGTAGACTATATATCTCATTTACGAGAAACAGTTGTAGCATTGACTTTAGAAACGTACCTATTAGATTAATATGCTAACTCCGCTCAATATTGCAAGCAGACAACTGCATTGTACACCTAGCTATTTATATGCCTTATAGTAACTGCAGGAAAAATATAATGTTTAACGCGAGCCCAAAGTAGCAATTGGCTCACCTATTTGATTTAACCCCCAGTTCAACGCCCAATTAATTCTTTGGACCAATTCACTTTTTCTCAAGTGATTCTAAAATTTACGGATATTTCTCATCACAGATCCCCTACATTGAACTTATCATCTCATGTATTCACTCATTGTTCACTATTTTTGCATTAAAATAATACACTTTCTTGTGTTTCAGTTGTGCAAAAATCTAATTCCTTATTTTCCATGCGTGATTTGATTATTTTAATGCGAATGTAATGATAACCTTTTGGAAATTCTAGGTAGCAGAATTGAAAAAAGAGTTAAAGGCTAGAGGTTTGAGTACAGCAGGAGCCAAAAATGAACTTCAAGAAAGATTACAGCAAGCAATACAAGGATCATCACAAGGTCTGTTATGCTTTTAGAAATAGTTTTGAAAATTTAAAATTTAATTCTAACTTATTCTAAACCCTATCTTTTATTTTTAAATTTGTATCGGTAAACCACTTGAACAAAATTCTCATATAATCATTGATATCTTATCATTAACCATAATTTATCCGTGTACTCTGATAACTCCCATGGTCCAGTATAGAAATGGTGTGGATTAGTTGTATATTGATAGCCTACTGAAAATAATTTTGTACACTGTTATTTTGATGATGATCTTTAACTTAGGCCTAATAATAATTTATGAAACCAATCACTGTTCTTCCTGAAATAGAACAGCGTTGTGTACAGATTGTAATTTGAATTTTGATCTAGTGTAAAAATTTGATTGAAGAATTTTTTAAGTGAGTACTTTAGTACCGGTACCTACCTATAAAAATTAAATGAAAATGCTTTTATTGCAGCAAACTTAAAACCTCATTGTCCTTACTTACAGTTAACCTTGATAATAATAATGAAACATCTCATAAAGTAACTAAGTTTACCAAAGTTTTCATAAAAAACAGATAAAATAGGTTTTATAAAGCTAAAACCATGTTTGTTTTATGCTACATAACACACATTTGTTCCGTTTCCCTATCTACAGTCATACATGCACTATTTGCTGAACCTAGGCCTAATGCATGCCATGCCACCGCGCTCGACCATCCGGTTGAGGTAATATTTTTACAGCATCGCCTTCACTTGGGATCGGTTTTAAATGGATTTAATGGCATAGGGTAGGCTATATAGTTCCACAGGCGGTTCCATGCTGTAATTACAAAGGTTTTATTATAATTTATCCAGCAGCCAGTGTTTAAGTTGATCCTCTTCACGTTTTGATTTCTAAGAATCTTTAAGTGGTTGGGCAGGCTATTGAAAATCTGTCGTCCAATGTAGGATGGCAAGGCCACATAGGTAGTACCGTAGGGTTGTTGTACTGTGTTTTATGATGACTCAGGAGAAGGTAGTCATTAGCTCTTCTTGTTGTTGGAGTGGATATATTCTCCTCTTGTGAGTTCACTCTGCTCTTTTTTATACTCACTGCAAGGATGTATGTATAGTTATGATTTTCAGTGATTTATAAGCTTCAATCGTGCTTTCTGTAGGACTGAGGTTTATATTTTTTTCTGGAGTCTCAGTACCCTTGTTAAGTTCTGATCAGTAGTTCCACCAAACCACTAATCCATAGGGATACTTAGGACCAATCCCATCTTATGGGTCTCTACTAAAGCATATCATACAGTCTTAGTTGCCTCCTGTCCTATCCATTTAATTCTATACATTACATAAATCCCATATCCTAGCTAGCTTTTTACTTAGGCTATTGCATACTCTGTTCAGGTTGTTCTCAATAAAAACATATTTATAACTATTTATATGTTTAAAAACATATAAATGAATCGCTAGTAAAGTTTGTTACTGATAAAAGCTGTGTGGTTTCAGATTTGGGTTCAGAAGATGGGAATGCAGAGTCAGAAATCTTAGATGAAGATGATGTTTTGGGAGATGAGGAAGAAGGGGTAAGTTTGATTAGAAAAAACAATTTTTGAAGAGGATATTATATTAATACATTTCTTATAACTTAACTTAGTTTTTAAGAGTTCCCTCGTGGAGACAATTTTTTTACCTTGATGTATTTTTTGAGGTATTGTTAAAACCGTGGTTGAATTAGTTTTTCTTAATAGGCTAATTTACAAAAAAATACCATGTAAGAACTAGAGCACACTATTTTCTAATGTGGATTGGTATACTGTCTTTGGAATTCTATATCTCTGAGCACGGTCAACTTTACAAAGAACGTTTTCTCAGGGTGAGTTTGACGATGACGAGGCAGATGCGGTGTTGGCTGACGAACCCAAGACTGAAGTCACAGCCAAGGTACCAGCTGCCGTTACATTGAAACGTCCCGCGCCTCTAGCTACAGAACCATCACAGGAAGTCCAGGTAACAATAAAACATGTGAATAGTTCGTTGTTAACATTATTTATGATTACTCATAGTTACAGAGTATCTAAAGCCTCCTAAATTGTAGAAAAAATAGAGGAACAATAGCAGCAGGATGAAAAGTAGAACATTTTTTATAGACTAGTGAGTAATGAGGAAAATAGAGTAAACAATAGTTTCTTGAAACAAAGAGATTTTATTTCAGAAAAAGATGGTAAAAGAGGATCAGTTTAGAGTTTGCATACCTGAAGGTATAAGGAGTAGATGTATCGATCTGTCACATTAAAAATATGGTCACATGGGGGGTGGTAAAGATTACTTATGTCTAAAAGAGTTTTGTGTCTTTCCTGCCATGGAGAAAGCAATAAAAGATCAATTAAAAAAGTGTGAGCTATGTCAGAAAGCAAAACAAGTATATGTCAAACAAGTAGGTAAAGTTTAATTCCTATAGTTCCGGAAAGAGTTAGACAGCTAGTAGCAGTAGATTTGATAGGAGAGTTTCCCACTGTACCGGGTGGAGTAAAGGATATTTTTGTAATAATAGATGTATTTTCTAAATATTAAGATGTTCGCCATAAAACATGCGAACACTAGAACTCTGTTGAGCAAAATTTTTAACAAATACATCCCTGAGGTAGGAAAAGTAGAATCAATTTTAAGCAATCGTGGTCTAGTCAATTTACGAGTGACTTATAGTATTCAACTTAAACAGATGCTAGGATAAAAACTTTACATATATCAGTGTACCATCCTCAATCAAATCCAACAGTACGAATTAATAAAGAAATCAACAAAGTAATACACATATATTGTCATAATAAGCATACTAATTGGCCAAATGTACTTGAATTCATTGAAAATTGTCTAAATCACTCAGTTCATGGTGTTACCGAGCATGTACCTGGAGAGGTCATGTTAGGAAAGGTAAATACACATTTTCTTGAAAAAGTAATAGAGTTTCCCAGTGATAGAGATTTTAGTAAAGTACAGTGTGTAACTTTAGTAAGAGAGAAACTGTTATAGGGCTTAGAAAAGAAAGGCAAAGTAAAGTTTGATAAAAAAATAAAGCCAGTAACTTTTTAATAGGTGCTTAAGTCCTGGTTAAGACTCATATTTGTCAAATAAAATTTAAAAAAGATATAAAGATCTTCTTGCTTTTCACTGGACCATAAATAATAGTTGAGATTAAAATGGAAAATGATACAAGTTAAAGGAGTTGAATTCAGATAAGATACTAGGAACTTATCATGTTAAACAATTGAAGAAATATTTTGAGTAAATTCAGTTGTTCAGGTTACAATAGCCTCAAGGTATGTGTCTGGTTGTTTGGATAAATGGGCCGGTTGTGTTTAAGGTACGATTTCTGTTTTTGGGCCCTTACAATACAAAGATCACATAAAAGATACACATAAGATAAAGTTATTCCAATACATTACTTTATGGAATCATTTATAAAGGTATTTTTTAAATAATTATAATTATGAATAAAAAATAATAATGATAATAAAATAATACTAAAATAATATGAGATGTTAATAAAGCTTTGAATAGTGGTCAATAAATATTCTATTAATGGGGATGAAAATTTATTAAGCATATTAAAAGTTTTCTTTTTGTATTGTGATAATAATAAAAAAGATTATGTTAATATGTTATTAAAGTATGATATTGTATAAATAAAAAAGGTTTTAGATAAGACTATTTAGACTGTAAAAAGCAAAACAAGATGGATGGACAACAGGCATAAAATTTAATGATATTGAATAGTACCTATAGCCCTGAGTACCTACCTTTAGTTGGTGAAAATCAGTGAAAAGTGAGTCAGTGCATCATAAAAAACAGTGATATCAACAGTTACTTGGGAGCAACATTTTAAGCCAAAAAACATCTGGATGCGGCAATGCCAATTTAATCCAAATGTTGGTGGAGATGGGAGAAAATAGTATCCATACAAACTGCTGGATGTGGTAAACCAGTCAAATCCAAGGTAAAGGAAGAACAATAAAAAATACAAACTGCTGGAGGTGGTAAACCAGTCAAATCCAAGGCAGCGGAAGGACAATAAAAAACAACTAAAGATACATGATAATTAAATTAAATCCTTTATAAAGGGCTACAATATCAACGACTTGACTTAGACAGAGACTAGTGAAGAAAGACAGTTATTGAATCTAGTGATGTCAATGGCCTACGTTACCACCAGTTTATCAGCCTGGTACGCTATCCACAACACTACTGATGCTCATGGCTCTGCTCCGTATCGTTGCGGTAAAGGTGTTCCCTCAACAAGAGACTGACGTCACGAGATGTTCCGATCTGGAAGGTTTAATCTGAACCTTGGCTGTGACTGGTTCCGTCTTGGGTTCGTCGGCGTGTTCTGTTCGGATGCGCAGGACGCTTTAACGTCACATGTTGAAGCGTCCTGCGCCTCTTTACAGGACACAGCTTTTTGTTACTACTTAAATTAGCTGTTGCCATACACAAGCGTCTAGGCAGCCAGTGCAAATCGAGGATCGTGGATCGGAACGCCCCTTACCACCGCACCATGCTGTACGCTCCTGGATCATACCGCCGCATCAGCATAGCCTAAACTGTTCACGGTTTGTAGGAAATTGTTATCTCTATCACTGTCGCTGTCAAAACATATCGTTTGTAGGTTAAATTTAAATTAAATTTTAAACTGTCATAACCTAACCAAACTTGCTGACGATGAAACAATTGAATAAAGGTTTATTAATCAAAAAATAGTTATGCTCACAAAATAAAATTATGAATTCCTTGAATTCAATTTTTTAATTTTTTAAGTTATGAAATTAAACTGTCATAACCTAACTAAACTCTCTGATAATGAAAAAATCAAAGGAAGGTTTAATCGAAAAAATAGTTCTGTTTAAAAATAAAACTATATATGCCTCAAATTCAATTTTATAACTTAAGCGAATTTCCCTATAGGAAGTAGCTATTTCCGTTGGTGGCTTGGTAACAATCAGGCCCCGGACCGATTTACTTTTTCATTTTGATGTCCCCAGAGGCCAAAAACACCATTAGTTCAAATTTTTATATATTTATACACACATATATATATATAAATTTATATAAATGATATATATAGATTTTTATATAAATAATATATATAGATTTATATAAATAATATGTATAGATTTAATAAATAATAGGCTATGTAAAATAACATGAGTACTCTTTTTTTAATTACACAACATGTTTCGTCTATAATGACATCTTCAAGTGTTAACCTAATTTCAAACAAAAATATTATGTTATGAATAAAAATACAGCTGTTAATTGTGTTAGCCTGTGATTGAATGTTTAGTTGTTGTTAGTTTTTCTAACACTTATAATTTTGTTAAATATAGGGTTAGTGGTTTTGTGTGTACTATATTTAAAATTTTGTCTCTATCTTCTTTGTGGTGTTTATATGTGGAAATTTTCTTTTATGTTCATTTTGGTTCCTTTGTTTATAATGTCTAGTATGGTAATGTTTTTGTTATAATTTTTATATGTATGGTCTGTAGAAAGTATGTGTTACTGCAAATGTAGATTTTTGTGTTGTTCTGTTGTCCAATTTAATTTCATGAATATCTTTGCACCTACTTACTAAAATTACGTCCTGTTTGGCCAATATAGAATTTTGAGCTGGAACTGCAGTTTAATTTGTATATGCCAGATTTGTCTTTTATGTCTGATATGTTATTGTTTGAATGTGAAAATTTGTTAATTATTTAAATCAGGTGAATTGTTTCTATCTATTCTATTATTCTTTATATATTTCAGTTTTGAAAATCTTTGTAGAACTAAATCTAGAGTTCTACTGGACCGATTTTATTAAATTAATGGGTCGTTGGAAAGCTTAATTCGTGTAGATTTGCAAATAATTATCAAAGTTTGTTTTTGTTATGATTTATGGTGAAAAATTTCAAAAAAACATTTTTTCCATTAAGAAATACATTGAAAATGGGGTTTGTTCAAACTTTTTATTTGGGTGAGACTTTTTGCTGCCTTTTTTTTATTGTTTCCAAGAAGTTTATGGTATCAATTTGTAGGAAATTTTATTCTCTTTCAGAATATCACCTTCCACTTAAGTCGATTTGTTGAATATTACATTTTTTAATATTAGACACCCAACTTCATCTAATCTGGATTAATAATAAACCATCATATATTTTTATTTTTACCTATGCAGTTGTTTACTAAATATATTTTCATTGTTGTGTTGTGTTTGTAAGAAAATAAAAGAGTTTATTACATTTTTTCTTTCATTAACTTTAATTTCATCAACAAAGGTTATGGGCCATTTGGAATAGTAAAATAATCATTTTACAGTAATCTGTGCTTAAAAATAAGTAAAATGAGTTTTGGCTATAGAATTGATCCTTTGAAACGAAATAATTATGTCACTTGGAAAATTCAAGCTGAAGCTATATTAATCCAACAAAACCTAATGGAATATGTATCTGGGGAGAACAAATGTCTCTATTATTTCAAAAGTACAAAATCTGTATATGGTAGACGAAAAATCAAACTATACAAAAGAACCTGAGATCATAGATTGGCATAAGAAGTTAGGTCATCTAAACGAGGTTGACTTTTAATTGGGTGACATTTAATTGTGAAGCATTCGTTTTGGCTTTGAAACTGTCAGATATTGTATTTGCTAAGGTTTATTTGGAGGATGAAGTTGGTAAGAATGCCTGGATAGTTAAAGATCTTAAAGCAAAATCAGAACTAATATTGATAATTTCGCCTAGTGAATTGAAATTAGTAGTCTACTGTCAAATGTACACCCGTGTGCTCCTCGATGAGGCAGGTGTGGGAGTAGTCTTAATCTCTTCGTTTGACCTTTGAGAAATACAATTTCGATGGTGGCACCCTTGAAAATGGTGCGTTTGAACCCTGTGGGTAAAAACAAAATGGCCGCCATTTAAAATGTTTAAAGTCAAATTCCATGAAAACTGGCTATTAAAACAATATTTTGCAACACATTATTTAAAGTTCTTTTTATTTCAAATCGAATGACACTTTATTTGCGAAAATCGGATAATAAATAAAAAAGTTATGTAACTTTTATTATTAATAGATATTATCAAAATGGCAGTCATTGTTAAATTTCATAGAAACTAGTGACAAAAACATACTAAAAGTTACATAACTTTTTTATTTACTATCCGATTTTCGCAAATAAAGTGTCGTTCGATTTGTAATAAAAAGGACTTAACATATTTTGTTTCGAAGTTTTGTTTTAATTGCTGGTTTTCATGGAATTTGACTAAAGAATTTTAATGGCCGCCATTTTGAAATTCGATGATCAGGCTCAAAGATTTTTTCGGAGAATGTTTATACTTGTGTAGACTTAAAGTTTATACCAAGTTTCATAAAAATATCTCTAAGGGCTTTTGAGTTATGAATTATTTTCAAAAAATACAAAATGGCGGAATTCGGCTTAACTAAGCCGAAATTGAATTAATGTTATTCTACATTTTCGACTTATTTTTGCACATAGAATCTGAATCTGCATAGCCCATCACGCTTTACTGAAACACCCTTTAATACTTTTTGAGATATTTAACTGTCCTGGGACATTACATCCACCCTAATTAATTTTATTTATGAAAAATATAAAACACATTACATTATGTTTTATGAAAGAATGGTTGATTCTACATAAAAACTGTTATAATCTTTTTTGTGCAGATTTAAAATAGCTACATTTTGGTATCAACAAATTTTTCATAACTCTAACGGTTACTGATATACGTAAGGCAGCAAGTTTGCGATGGCGGCCATTTTGTTTTTTACCCACAGCGTTCGAACGCACCATTTTCAAGAGGGCCACCATCGAAATTGTATTTCTCCAAGGTCAAACGAAGAGATTAAAACTACTCCCACACCTGCCTCATTAAGGAGCACACGGGAGCCTGTATATGTACATTTGACAGGGGACTATAGTAAAAAACTGCAAATCCTCCAAAGAAGTATGGGATTGCCTGCAGAACAATTACCAAAGTTCTGGTCCTGCAAGGAAAGCCACATTATTAAAGCAGTTAATAGTTCATAAAATGAAAGATGGAGAAGATGCTAGGGATCATGTCAACAAATTTATGGAGATTGTTGACAAACTTCAAGAAATGGACATCATTATCAATTCAGACTTACTTAGCATTATGCTACTTTACAGCTTATCATTATCATTTGACAATTTCCGGGTAGCATTGAGTCTAGAGACACTTTACCTTCTCCTAATGATTTAAAAATAAAAGTAATTGAGGAGAGTGAAGCTAGGTCAAAAGACACTTGTACGAATAATGAAGATACATTGTATTGCAAAACAAAGCAGTTCAACTCCAAGAAAGGTATTCACAACACTTATAGTCATAAGAAACAAGATGAGAACAACACTACAAAAGTAGGCTTCAAAGTTAAATGTTTTAGATGTGGAAAAATAGGACACAAAGCCAACAACTGTAGATCCAAACAAATGGGAAATAGTTTTAAAGCAGAGGCTGAGTGTTTCTCTTCAAATTTGAACATTTTAGGTTCTAACCTAAAATGTTCAAATTTGAAGAGAAACATCATCTGATTGGTGTATTGATAGTGGATGTACATCGCACATGTGTGGAGAGAAATCACAGTTCAGAGATATCAAAATTCAAACGGAATTTTGAAACTTGCTTCTAAAGGAAAAAAGACATTTCTGGAACAGGAACGGTTTTGCTGGAATTAAAAAATTCTGAAATCATACATTTGAATAACACTCTGTTTGTACCAGACTTGGCAACAAATCTAATGAGTGTCAGTAAAATAACAGATAAAGGATTTAAAGTGATTTTTGAAAAAGAGAAAGCTGTCGTCCAAAACCAAAGAGGAAATGTAATTGTGACAGTAGAACGTCAGGGGTGGTCTCTATTATTTCAAAAGTACAAAATCTGTATATGGCAGACGAAAAATCAAACTATACAAAAGAACCTGAGATCATAGATTGGCATAAGAAGTTAGGTCATCTAAACGAGGTTGACTTTAATTGGGTGACATTTAATTGTGAAGCATTCGTTTTGGCTTTGAAACTGTCAGATATTGTATTTGCTAAGGTTTATTTGTATTCCTATACAGTAATAGTTTTGCCAGCATATCTGGAAAAATGCACACTAAGTATGCAAACCAACTCCTGTTCTGAATATAATGTTTCAACTTACTACAAGATTCCCGTACGTAGAACGGGCAAACAGCTAGTTGAGAAATAAAATATTTGTAATATTACTGAGGTCTGCTTATCTGTGTTTGTGTATTTTTGCGTCGTGATGAAAAGTATCGTTCATAACTCGTACCGAAAGTTATTATCCGGCACTTGCTCCATTATTCCCGTCCTCGGCTTCGCCTCGTACGTGAAAATAGCTCTCACATACTCGGCTTCGCCTCGCACGTGAAATTGGGGTTCCCAAAAACTTGAGCGTGCGACGGAAAATGCCACTTTCTGTCCTAGTAATGAAATATACTATTCCAACCTTATATATGTAAAAGAAAATTTTGCTAACTTTCCCATGCGGCACAGTAATCATCATCACAACACTAGAACTAAGCACAATATTGTTACACCTTATATTAGATTAAGTATAACCTTCAAAAGCTACCATTATCAACAGTATCTATTGTTCAATAAGTTACCATTAGAAATTAGAACTTTGTCTGTAAATAACTTTAAATCGTATGTAATGACATTCTTAAAAATAAATGCCTTTTACACTGTAGAAGATTTTTTAAACTTGTAGGTTAAGCTATCAATGTCATGTGGATAAAGTGGTATCTAAGTTGAAACACTCAAAAAATGCTTCTTCCAACCCTATGTGTTATACCGTTTGACGTTGCCTATTACTGTAATAAGTTTAACGGCATTAATAAATTGTTATTGAGTCTTCTACTTATCATTCTTAAAATTTTGTAAAAAAAATCATTTTGTGTTCTTTTAAGTTTAAAATGTAAGTCTCAGCTCTACATATTAAATACTGGTTGGATTACAGTATGATTTTATTTGTATTTTTGTTCTATGCGAGAGAATCTTTTAAGTCAACCTAAACATGATTGAACTAGTTTTTGTTAATAATTAAAAATATTCTGTAAGAAATAGAACTATGTTTTTTCCATCCCTTTAGTTAGTTTTCCCACAAGTAAATTTGTGTTAAATCTTTGTCTATCTATCTTTGTCAATCTTTGTTATAAGTTTTGGATTAAATCTTGTTTATTGAAAAAGGTAGGCCTAGTTTGATTATCAATAAACGTTTAAATACGTTTTATATCAGAGTCCCGCTAATCCAAATCTGTTGTTATGGTAAAACAGTTATTGGATTTCAATTAAAAGTATAGATCTGTTCTGAATTACGAACCAAGATTTCTATCCAACCAGGAAACTCAGAGAATCGTATGTCAATTTTGATAACCGGGAAAAGCTGAATTTTACATGGAACTGGAAAATTTGTAATAATAACTAATAGCATATGGCCAAGTCTCCATTCATTGACAGTGTTATGTTAATTCTACGGTCGTTGTGCAGTACTGTAATGTGACCGCGGGGAATGATCCCAGCAACTAATTCCAGCCTAACAAACTATTTCAGATTTCAGCAACATGAAATAGTTTGTTAGTTTGGAATTAGTTTACTGATTAAAAAGATTGCTACTTTACTGGAAAATAATTGCTCTTCTGTTATAGCCTAAGAAAAGGGTACTAGTTCGCCCTATGGCTTTTGGGAAGGAAAATGGTGAAGAGGAGAAGAAATCCACAGAAGAAACAAAGAAGGATTCTGAGGACAAGAAGGTCATCAAAATCTCCGGTGTGGCAGTTAAAGATGTAAGTTTACACATTTAGGGTTATGATATATTTGTACTAATCTAAATGGCATCAGCAAACTGGTACATCTCCCATTAGCTTGCCAAAACCCTTATAATGGGTAAGCAGTGGGAGTAGCTATGATATTCTATAGGTAAAATAACAAAAATTGCAATAACTTGGTAGTTTTTACAGCATTGGGGATTGTATGATTTTGTCGAGAGTCGAGAGGTCCATTGCATAGTACATTTTTATCAAAATAGTTAAAGCTGTTTCTTGAAATCCTATTTTTACACTTTTTTATGGGGTTTCATGGTAAAATCCCCATTAAAAAAGAAAATTTCCTAAAAAATTAGAAAAATACCTAGTGATACCATAGATAAATTAGTACCCACAAAACAACGCCTATATCCACCCAAAACTCAAATTAGAATATTTTGACAAACACTTCAAACTGTTACACTGGGGGATCCAGCAGGTCTAGTCTTGGAGCGTGGGACTTTGGTTTCTGAGGTCCCAGATTCAATTCCTGCCAATGGAATTACCTGAGTGATAATGCCACAACCTCTAGGTCGAGCCTGAAGTAATGTGAAAAACAATTCCAGGCTCATTCTGAAAAAAAAAAACAGTTCCGGGCTCGTGCCTAGCGTTCTAGAATAAAAAGAAAAAACTATACTAATAGTGGCAACGTTCTGATTTGGATATAATTTATTTTTGTAAAAAAATACAACCGACTTCAAACACTCTAAAAAGAATGAAATAATTTCAATAAAGTAAACTTTTGTATTAGTCAAGCTCACGTATTTTAAGTCGGCACAGCACGGCTCTATGATGATTTTTGATTGGATGTCCAAATTGCAGGTGACAATCTATAACTAATGGTGTTAATCTGCATGACTTTTTCATAGTTATGCGTTGGGTGTTATTTTATTACCGTAACCAAAGATCTGCATTATAGTCGTATTAACGAGTATCTTTTAAAAGATTATAATGCATTTAAATGTTTCTAACTTGAAAATTAATGTTTTATTGTTAAACTAGCTTCTTTTCCCTGTCATAATATCAAAATAAATTATTTTCCTATTCACATAGAACATTTGTGTGTGTTATTTTCATAATGCATTCATTCTGAAGTAATCATAAAAGACAAGAAAATACTTCTTTGATACAGGAAAAACAAAACAGTTCAGTATGTTTTTTATATATTTATGTTATTGACTAATACAAAAGTTTACTTTATTGAAATTATTTCATTTTTTTAGAGCGTTTGAAGTCTGTTGTATTTTTTTTACAAAATAAAATTATTTCATGAATTTTAGTGACTGTATAATTTGTTATATATTAATTACTTGAGGTTTTTTGACAAGCAAAACTGTTTGAAACAATCAAAAGTTCCACAGAACAATCATTATTTTAAAACTGCTTGAGTCATCTGTTCAGGTCACATAATCAATGGGTACAAAAATAAACATTTTTAAGATATTCCTTTAAAAACAAAGAGTTATCCATTAAATTAGGCCTAATGAAAAACTAAATGTCTTTTCTAGAGACATTGAAATGTCAGACATAATCTTCTCCTGCAATCGGTGTACTTCTACATTATAAAAAGAAATACAGTAACGTCTCAAGCCTTTTGGAACAATATGAAAGTTATTCCTCAGCTACCAGCAGAAAAAAATCTCTCAAAAGTAGAAAATTGGTTGTTATCACTTATGGAAAATATGTACAGTATATGAAAGATTAGTTCAGCTAATTCTGGTCTAAGCCGGTTAGGTGGTTTTGTTTGCTCAAGATGTTGTCGAAATTGCAAATCAGCTTCCTCTAGGACTTTCCGAAGCAGGCATAATAGTATTGATAAGATATAGTAACTGGGTAGAGAATATTAATAAACATTCCACATCTGCAAATGCATATTTAGTAATTAAAATATTTAACACTTATAAGACCTATTCCTAAACAACATGGTATTAGGTGAGGTCAATACTTCAGTATGATAAATATTTTTGGGCATCACTCACCTTATTGAAATCACGAGAACGCAGTCCTTGTCATATCACAATCATACACAGTTCATTGCACATACACATTGATAATAAAATAATATACAAAAATAAAAAAATATAACTAGCCTAAATTTAAAATTTCAGACTTAAGTTCTCAACTCCAACGTTTCGCCGCACCAAAATAAACGTGCGGCGTTTTCAAGGTTATTTCTTTTCTCACGCAAACGTTGTGAGCGCCTAACCATGACTGACTGGTGGTGAACTCCCCGGTGGTGGAGGAGGGGGAGGGGAGCCTCTGTTATCTAGATCAGCTGATGGCATTAACTTCTTTTGTTTAGATTTTTCTATGCATCCTTTAATTTCTTTCTCTATTGGGTCAATCCATATCAAGTCATCCAGGGCATGACACCCATGTTCTCAGATTCTAATGATTTTTTTTTTTTATGTGTTCCTTTTGCTATTCTATGAATACCAAATTTCATTTTGATATCTTGAATACTTTTTTAGTTATGAATTTTCAAAAATTGCTAAAAATAAGCGTTTTCCCGTTTCCGCCGATTATTGGGAGTACGAAATTGTTTTGGTAAAAAAAATCATTACTCAGTCAGTATTTATCATATCACAATAAGACTTTTACTAAAATGTTCAGAAAATCTTGTAGAATTAAGGAAAAATATGTTTATGGGGGTGGTCATTTTATGTTCCAGTCAGTAATCCATCCAACTTCAATTTTGGTCTAATCTTTAGCAAAAAACACGAAATTTTGAAAAATTGATGAAAATTATAGGCACTATGTAAACCAAATGTATTTTATCATATTTATATTCCTAAGGACATATACTAACAGGTTCTTAAAGAAAAACACTGGGATTTTCACTGCCTTTTAGTTTGTACCTGAATAAACAGAAAAATATAATTTTCATAAAAAAGGCAGAGTGCGGACAGTTAAACCTGTACTAAGAATCAAAAGCTACTTCAGAAAGTGTTATTAAAAAAATTATCAAGACCCATTTATAATAAAGTAGAATTATAATTTTGAAAGGCAATAAAACTGAAGTTTAAAAGCACTGACCCAAATTGGTAGGCCTACAATGTCAAGCTTAGTACAAAAAAGACGCTTGAAAAAATATGTACAGTATTAAGAAAATATGAAAACTTCTTACCACTAATCCTTAATGAATACAATTTTTGGAGATACTCAATCTGCTTTTTACATGAAGCACTTAATTTTGTACTTGGTTTTTTGTCAACATGTTTTGGCACTGTTTTTAAATTAAATCCATTTCTTTTTTCGGGAAATAATACATTTAGTCAGGTTGGGTAGCAGGAAAATATTTCAGTTCTGGCAGAGAGGCTGCAATTTTAGGTGGTTATAGTATACAAGTTTCTGAATCTAAAACCGCCTAGACCTTATTATTATTTTAAATTAATTATTTTAAATATGAAGGTGGTGTTGTGACCCATCATTTTAAACTACTTTTTTATGCTGAATTCAATGCCGCAATATGTTTTTCATTGTCATATTTGGTTTTTGAAATATTGACATTTTAAATCAAAATAATTGTAATATTTTATCAAGAAAGCTTGATAACAAAAAACTTATAAAATAATTGATCACATTTCAAAATGGCGGATCCAAGATGGCGGCTGAAAAAAATACATCCGTCATAACCGAGTGAAAATAGGTCAACAATGAATGGTGGTGTCCACTTATCTTTATCTAGCACTATTTTTAGATTATGACCTTAGTTTGTAAATGCACAATGTTATAATGGACTAAAAATAAATTAATAAAAAGTTCTCGTTACTTTAGAATGGATCAACATTTTTTTAAACGAATTGCAGCATCGTATTCAGCGTTAAAGTCTTGTTTGAAACGGTGGGTCACAACCCTACCTTTACATTTGAAAAAATAACTTCGTATCCAATATGGCGGATCCAAGATGGCGGCCAAAAATTTAAACCCAGTCAAAATGAAGCACTTGCTACTCTACAATGATCTGACGTGGTTCGGAGTTGATATCTTAAGAAATGTATAAAAAAGTAGGGGGGGGGAACTCATTTAAAACTCACCTGTATAAAACAATTCACAATTATTTTCCTCATAATTTTTTTAGTTTTGAACAGCCGCCATTTTGAAATGACTTGATGAAACTTGACCATTTTCAACCCAGGCCGAGATAATGTATTCAAGCACTTGTGTGCCAAATTTCATGAAAATCGGTTAAGGCATTCGGTCGTTATAGCCAATTCATGGGGACCCAGCATCCTCTTACGGCCGCCATTTTGATGACGTCATTACGGACGACCGAGGTCCTTAAAAATTGGGGTCTGGGCGGTTTTAGGTTCAGAAACTTTTATACTATAACCACCTAAAATTGCAGCCTCTCTGCCAGAACTGAAATATTTTCCTGGTACCCAACCTGACTAAATGTATTATTTCCCGAAAAAAGAAATGGATTTAATTTAAAAACAGTGCCAAAACATGTTGACAAAAAACCAAGTACAAAATTAAGTGCTCCATGTAAAAAGCAGATTGAGTATCTCCAAAAATTGTATTCATTAAGGATTAGTGGTAAGAAGTTTTCATAAAATACTTGATGAATAAAGATGATTTGTATTGTATTGTATTGTATCATATTTTCTTAATACTGTACATATTTTTTCAAGCGTCTTTTTTGTACTAAGCTTGACATTGTAGGCCTACCAATTTGGGTCAGTGCTTTTAAACTTCAGTTTTATTGCCTTTCAAAATTATAATTCTACTTTATTATAAATGGGTTTTGATAATTTTTTTAATAACACTTTCTGAAGTAGCTTTTGATTCTTAGTACAGGTTTAACTGTCCGCACTCTGCCTTTTTTATGAAAATTATATTTTTCTGTTTATTGAGGTACAGACTAAAAGGCAGTGAAAATCCCAGTGTTTTTCTTTAAGAACCTGTTAGTATATGTCCTTAGGGACATAAATATGATAAAACACCTTTGGTTTACATAGTGCCTATAATTTTCACAAATTTTTTAAAATTTCGTGTTTTTTGCTAAAGATTAGACCAAAATTGAAGTTGGATGGATTACTGACTGGAACATAAAATGACCACCCCCATAAACATATTTTTCCTTAATTCTACAAGATTTTCTGAACATTTTAGTGAAAGTCCCATTGTGATATGATAAATACTGACTGAGTAATGATTTTTTTACCAAAACAATTTCGTACTCCCAATAATCGGCGGAAACGGGAAAACGCTTATTTTTAGCAATTTTTGAAAATTCATAACTAAAAAAGTATTCAAGATATCAAAATGAAATTTGGTATTCATAATTAGAATAGCAAAAGGAACACATGAAAAAAAAATCATTAGAATCTGAGAACATGGGTGTCATTTTCTTTTTTTGCTGGATGATTTGAAATGGATTGACCCTATTAGTGTATTGTAATGTATGATTGTGATATGACAACGACTGCGTTCTCCTGATTTCAATAAGGTGAGTGATGCCCAAAAATATTTATCATACTGAACTTTTAAGACCATTGACGATTATGCACTCTCACACTTCTTAGGTTGTGTAAGGAATAATTGCATTTAATTTATATTTAGACCTCTTTTACGAATGCTTTGGTTTTCACAATACACCTTTATTTGTCAATATCATACAGCTATTCACTAAAACCTGTATGTTTTTATAAGTCAGAATATTCAAAACTAAAAACAGAATTACTGTATACACAAATCAGGTCAAACGTTAAAATAACTTTTTTATAGTAACCAAAACAAAATGTGCTTTTTCAATGTAATTTATTTAGGCTCCATGGCAAGAAATAGTTTGTTAATCAATATGAAGCAACTGTTTCATGAAGAATCGTCTGTAGCTTCATTTAAATGGTTTCAACTAACAGCTGTAGGAATGTTATTATTATTTATTGCCTTCTCTGTACAAATATAAACAAAATAAATGTTGAATATTTGTGGTTTTCAGCATTTTACACCAAAACAAATATTACACTTAAACATAATATATATATATGGGACCAAATAGAAACTCTTCTGGTTATTTTGGTGGTGGAACCACACTGATCGGTAAAAGAATCACAGAAAAATTGGTGAACATACATAGGAAAAAAAAACATTGCCACGAACAAATTGAGAACCTCCTCCTTTTTTTTGGTAGTGGGAAAGTCAGTTAAAAAAGTTGTCTGTTGTATCAGGATGTATTTTTTACTGAATAGAGCCTAAGTTTTGTTTTTATTTGTTAAGAATTTTGACACTGTAACAGACACTTCTGTGCAAAAAGAAAGTTTATTTGATTCAATTCAACCACCCATAACCAATTAGTTTGTAAAATTTGGCTTAAAGTTCTAATTTATCCTACTGTTTTCTAGCGGCTTGAAATGAGAGCTCAAAAGTTCGGTGTGCCGCTCTCTGTAGAGGCAAAGAAAGAAGCCCGTGCGGCAAGGTTCGGCTTGGCCACGACCCAGGAGAAAAAAACCCAGGAGAACACTAATGTAATCTCAACAAAAATTGGCACCAATAAAATAATAAAATTTGAGGTAAGTAATGCTCGTCTTTGTTTATTTTGGCATATTTTTCTTTTGAGATAGGTATAACCAAACTTAGCTTGATTGAGTCGTAGAGATGAACCAAATGAAAAAAAACAAATAAAAAGTAGGGTGTAACAAATCGTTTTGGTACATCACCATTGAATAAATTATCACTAAAATAGCTCTTTTGGAGTTTGTGCCTGAGAGATGTTTTGTTTTTGTTTGAACGGACTAGCAGAAGTGCAAATACCCCGCTAGTAGCGAGCTAATTTGCTTGCGCTAGTGGTCACGTGACCACCCCCTCCACTTATTAGCGCTTGTATTATCAAACATGTGACTAGCAGCGAGTTAAATGCTAGCACGCGATTAAGAATTTTTGCTAATGGACCTTTTACACCGAGAAAATTTATACGCGCTAATCAACTAGCGGCAAATACTAGCCCCGTGTACACAGGGCTTAAGTGTCTGCAGGATGATAAGAGTCTTCATCACCCTCGGTGTAGTTGTGTTTTGGGGGTATAGCCTGTGGGGGGGGGGGTGTTGAAGAGCGCCATTCTGAAAACATTGTAAACACACGACTACTAAAACGACAATTCGGTGACTCCCTCTGACAAAGCATGTTAATTTTGTCTCCTGTTTCAGACGCAGTTTTCCACAGATTTTCTTGAAATTTGGTAACAATGTAGTTGAATAGTTATATTGGCGCTCTTATAACTTGAAAATTGAATATGAAAAAAAATAGTTTCTTATTTTTAGGAACTTATTATTTTCTTGGATATATCAGGTATGAGGGCTCTCTAGAACCAACATTAATCTATAGGGAAGAAAGTTTTAACATTACTTCTTTACATGTTCCATCAGGAGTAAGGGACTTCCGAGGCATGTTTTTTAGTGTTTTCGCAGGAGTGAAGAAGACTTAACCCTCCAAGGTAGCATTTAGTTGACGTCTTTTATGTTTTTTTTATATTACAGTTTGATTGTTCTTGTCTTCCTTATTCCTTCTTTTCTCCGTCCGTTCTATTTGATTCCATTCCTCTGTAATACCTTTGACAGGGTGTCTACCAACCGGGAAATCCGGGAAAACCGGGAATTGTACTTAATTTTTTACTGGCCATGAAATGTACGGAATTGTCCTTAAATGCCAGACTATGTCCTTAAATTTTTAATGGGCCATAATTTTATTGATCGCTAGTTGGTTAGGAGCACATAAAAGGTTTTCAGATGTTTGTTTACATTTTCATAATTTATTACTAGAGTAATTATGCAATAAAAATCCTATTAGCAATCTCAAACCCATTAATATTTTATCACGACAATCAAGTGTCAAGTCAAGTACTTCCAAGAACTGTTGACTCAGTTAGCTAGCTCATAAAAGTTGTATCACTTTTATTCCTTTACAACTTCTTTTTTTATTACTAGGGCTTATTATGAGATTATATTATGAGAAACTATTATGAGATCCCAAACCTATTTTATCGTGAACATAATAGCTTTATAATGGCTGTTAAATTTCACTTCTTACTTGTACTTTCGGCTTGAAGATTCAATTTGCCGCGGCCATTGCCTAGTGCCATAAAACTGTTTATGGTTTCATATAAAACATGTAAATAATCTACAGTCTTATTTTGTAAGTTAACCCCTTTTTTATGGATATTTTATCTTTCAATTGACAAAACCACAAGCATTGTTGTTTGCATTAATGTTTTATCACTATGTAGGCCTGCTTGGTTTCAAATTATGTCATTGCATTTTCTGTATCTTTGTCTTATATTGTTGGCTATTCATGTTTCAATGTTTTTTGTTTAACCCATATATTTTATTTATTGAGTTGTATGCTTTAAGCAATCTAAATCTTATGAACTAGAATGATGATAGTGACTTTGCTGCTATTATAACCTCATTGTTTGTTACCCAGTTTATATAGGCCCTCCTAAATAATTAGGTCTAGGCCTGGGTATTTTGATTCTTGAAAGAGCTGTAAAATATATTAGGAAAATGTAATTGAGCCTAGATAAACAACTAATGATTGCTACGTGTCAATATTAACTTTGCAAATGAAAATACAATAATCTTACTCTGTGCTTATTGCTTATTGGTAGCCGCTTACCATACCTTGATTTTGTACTAAGAACTGAGTAACAATGTGCATTTAAAGATTTTTTTTTTTTTCAAAAGTAGTCGAGAGCCTAACGTTGTGCCAGGGCGAATCATGCCAAATTAATCCGCCTGGATCGGATAAGCTATGTTATGAAGTTTACGTGACCGATGGAGATATTTGTCGCTGTCGCAGGAGACAATGGTTGCATTTCTCTGTTACACTATAAAAGCTTTACCTAAAGTATAGGTAGGCCTATGCTTGTTTACTTTCAATAGATTTCTATTTTGAAATTGTTAACTCTTAACTATTATTATTTACTTTTTTTTCTCTCTGGTACAACTACAGTTAATAACAAGCTTGATACAGTTTGACAAATCAGGAAAATTATTCGGTAGGCCTAATGACACCGACAAAGGTTACGGCAAAGTGTCCTTAAATGTAGGCCTACGGGAATTGTCCATGAATTTTTTATCCAGAATGTAGTAGACACCCTGCTTTGAAGATATCTGACTTCGTCTAATATCCCTCATTCCTCCTCAACCTTCCTTAGATTGGTTTTCCCATTTTCCTCAGACGGTAAACCTTGAAGATTATTCTGATTTCCTCGTCTACTATCCCTTAAAACCTCTTCATTAAAGAAGCTCTAGCTAGTTTTATGTGCAGGGTCCAAGTGCTGACGTCCTAAAGAAACGAGCTGAACGATTTGGATGTAACGTCAGTACTTTGGCTGTAAAGGTATGTTTTTAAAGTTTTTAATTATGAGGTTTATCATCTCGGTTTCAGTGAACACTCATCTGTGTTATCATAGGGCACGATATTAAAGACCTAACTTTGGCTTTACTTATTTCATCAAGACTGAAATGAGCTGATAAATTTATGTTCCATCGACACAGTCTTATAATAACCCACAGACTTAGTAAACCACACTGAAAAATGTCAACATTATTTTATGTTAAAAAAAACTTATTTCGATTGATTAAAACGTTGTTGTTAACTGTGGTATGATAAGTCCAAATTGAAACCAAATTTGAATTAGTGTAATTAATTTTATTTGAAATTTTAAGTCTAACACACTAGTAGTATATCTGCTGGCTAGCTGATATTAGTGCGCTGTCAAAATAAGTGCTTATCTGCTTGTTAGGAAAATACACACCGAGCCTGTCGGCTCACAGATGCAACCATCTGTCTTCAAGCCGACTCATTTAAATCGCTCTGTGAGCAATTCAGCGCAGATATCTGTGCCCAGACTAATCCCCCTTTATCATGAGCGTGTTGAGCCTACTGCCAGGTGCTCTTTGCTACATTATACTTTTGCGATGATTCATGTCTTCTTTTTTTATCTTCTGTTCTATATACGTCAGCCGATCTTTTTTGGATTGAAAATAACATCGAAATATGTCATCCGATTCCAGGTCATCAAACAATGAAATTTCTTGAAACCATTCTCTTCCTATTTATTGGGTAATCCCTCTTGCTAATAAAGTCTCGTTATTACTACAGTTTAACCAATTTTCCATACATGGCACACCAGTAACAAATGAACTTTGGCGTCGAGGTATCCTAGCCATTATTACTCAGTAGAACACAGAGAACTGCAATTAGACACAAGGACTGTCTGTCAGTGTGTGACAGTCTCTGGACATGCAGATCAGGCAGTCGACAGACAGACGGGAGTTAGGCTTTAGGTGATCGACTTTTGGACTTACTTATGTTGAGTCCAAAAAATAAATGCTAAAAATTAGCAAAATTTTCAATTTAACCCTTCAATTAGCAGCGTGACTTTAATAGTTGCGGTAGGTGGTTTCTGTAGTGGCAGCGACTATAATAGTAACGTTTTGCAAGGTTTTGGTTAACTCCAAATAAATGGTTGAAAATGATTGTAAAATGGAATAATTTTTATACCGTTAGAAAGATTAAATTCTTCTAAACTTGCACTTTGTTACATAGCCTAAATTAATGAACTTTATCTCACAAAGGGATTTTTGAGTACTAAATTAAACGAAAATTTTGAGCATAAAGTCATTTGCTTCATGTCTCAAAACTGTTCTTTTACTACATTTTCTTGAGAACACATTTATTTGGTTTTAGTTTGAAATTTGTTTAAAAAATCGTGAAATTTGCCATTTTTCGGTTTTTAGATCATAGTTTTTAAAACAAAATGGTAATTGAAATCTTTTACATATAAAGAACATTTGGTAAATGCAGCAAAGTTTTACTTTAAAAATTTCAAAATTAAAAAAAAACCTATTTTTTCTATGTTTTGTCATACATACTGTTGTAAATATTTATTTTTGCCACTTTCAAATTCCCCATTCCATTACGAACAATTCAAGTATATGGTTCAATAGGTTTGCTCTAGTTTAGTTGAAATGAATTTTCAAAAGTATGTCTGCAAAATCACTAAAAACGCCTTGTCACTACAGAGTTTGCCCATTGCCAGTTGGAGGGTCCTCTATTCCTAATCCTCTATTCTAAATTCCAAATTCTATAGTCTAAATTATCTCTATAGATCGAACAACAGGAGAAGCTGAAAAAGAGACAAGAGCGCTTCGGAATCACAAGTTCTGTTCCTGCGACAGCGGTTGCAACAGTTGCGAAAACAACAGTCTCCACAAAGACCCACACCCCCATCACAATGAGCGACATGGAGGCAAAGAAAAAGCTACGAGCAGAAAGATTCAAGATCTAAATTAGAATGTGTGTGTGTATCAGCGAATTTACCTTGAGAAAATTAGTTTTAATTTTATGCTAGAGTCACGATTGTTTTTTACTGTATATTTTACAAAATTATTGTACATATATTGCTCTTTCGTCATAGGTTAAGTAATTATAAATCATGATTTGTATAGTTGGGTGTTTAGTTTACATCATTTTTCCATTCCTTTAGGATACGAATCATACTAATAATATAATTTACGGTCTTTTTTTCTATTGTTATTATATAACAGTGAAGTATTTATTTTATTTTCATTTTATGACACACATTGGACTACTCAAGTCATTATAATGCGAAGAGTTTTTTTTTATCGTTTTCCGTTTTAGTTTCTACCAGTACTTTTACATGTTTTGTTAAGACCTTGGTTGTCTCTCTTCTTCCTATGAAAAGACTGCTACGTTTTGGTTTATTTACTTTATTATTTAGCGTTGTGTTTTTTTCTTTTGTGGTTTAAGACGTTTAGGTTTTTTGATTCTTATCATGGTGTACATTATTTACACCTAGCCTGTTGTGCGACATTGACAACAGGTGACTGGTCGCTACCATGATCCTGCCGTGCTACAGTAGGTGTCAACTGCCAATGCTCTAAAAGGTTTAATTGTAAAAAAAAAGAAAAAAAAACAGACGAGGTGGGTGTTGTAAATGCAACAGCTGCTTAGGCCAAGTTGTGGAGTACCTTACGCTCCTCAACAAATACCTCCTAGTAAGATTGTTAATACCAGATGATCAGCTGGTCCAAGAATCATAATAAAATAATTATCAGCTTATCAACTGGTATAACAATAATCATAATAAAATAATCAGCTGATCAACTGGTATAACAAGAATCATAATAAAATAATCAGCTGATCAACTGGTATAACAAGAATCATAGTAAAATAATCAGCTTATGAACTGGTATAACAAGAATCATAATAAAATAATCAGCTGATCAACTGGTATAACGAGAATCATAGCAGGGTGTCAACATTCTGGAAAGTCAGGGATAGTCATGGAAAAAAATTCTGGTCATTGAAAGTCATGGAAATAGGCAAAAAGTCATGGAAATCACCAATGATGGATGGATTTCAGGGGTCCTTTCAATGATCTAGTTGGCCGTAACCCCGACTATTGTAGCATTTTTCCAAATTTTTGACAAATATACGACAACTCAATTTATACAGATGTCTTAGTTTATGGGTTTTGAGTTTGTATTTAGTTCATTGTTGTACCTGTTTTACGCCATTGTTATCTGTTAATACGTATTAGTATTTCAATATTTTCTGTCTAGGCAGAATTATTTGTGTGTTCACGGTATATTATAATTTTCTTGTAAAGTTTGTGAGTCATGGAAATCAATGGTTAATGGTCATGGATAGTCAGGGAAATTAATGACAAAATTTCTGTGGACACCCTGATCATAGTAAAATAATCAGCTGATCAACTGGTATAACAAGAATCATAATAAAATAATCAGCTTATCAACTGGTATAACAAGAATCATAATAAAATAATCAGCTTATCAACCGGTATAAAAAATCATAATAAAATAATAATCCGCTGATCAACTGGTATAACAATAATCATAATAAAATAATCAGCTTATCAACTGGTATAACAAGAATCATAATAAAATAATCAGCTTATCAACTGGTATAACAAGAATCATAATAAAATAATCAGCTGATCAGCTGGTGTAACAAAGATGGATCGGGTTGGTATTGTTGGGTGTTTTGTTCTCCCACTCCCCAGTAGGTGGGGTGGTTGTGTGTTGTTACATTGTGGTAGTTCAGTTCCTAACATGCAGTGTACCAAGTCTGTTCTCATCGCTGTAACACTGCTGTTACTATTGGCTCTACTGGCGTGCTCTCTCGTCTTCTACACTCATAGTCAGTAAAGTTATACAAATATAAATTAATTTAAAATAAAATAAAACTAAAAGTATCTACTATTTTTGTACTACACATTGTTGAAATTTCATCAACTGCATTAACGCTATTTTGCTCTTAAATATACACAGGGATATGTTTCAATGATAATTCTATTATTTTACAATATTCACATTTTTCATTTGCAAGAAAAATATATTTATATGTTCAAGAGATTAATATAATTGATTTATTTATTTAATTATTTACAAACACTGAAAAATAATTAAGAAATTAGACTAGGCCTATAACTGAAAGTAATTGATTCCTGGAACTGAATTTTTTTATATTTAAGCTACTGGCTGTTTGTTAAACAAAGATTTTCTTGGTATTACCTATAGTTTTCAGCTGAATCTTGGTGGAATTTTTATTAACTTTGAATTTTGCCCTGGTGGAAAACAGACATTGCTGAATATTTATTTTAGGTTTGTTTTCTAAGTAGAAAAGTAAAATGATTTGCTATTGCAATAATGTGGTTATTTTGCATTAAATTACACGAAAAATAAGAATATGAATACTTGATTATCAAAAGCTACTTAGACTGTGAAGCAAGTTTTACAGTCTAAACATTTGGCAGCATACTTTTCCCAGTTGATTTGTGAATTCCCAGTATGAAAAACTGTATCAATTCCTACAATTTTGCTACAATAATTTGGATAGGATAGAATGCAGTGTAGATTTAAAGAATTTCTTTTTGATAAAAATATAAATATTAGCTAAAATTGATAAAAACTGTTATTGTTGTGAATAAAATTACTGGTAACAGACAAAAATAAGCACTAATTCGCAAAAACTAAACTTTTTAAAATAAATTTTACCAATTTACTAAACCTGTGTACGTTTAAAATTTAATTTGAATTTTTAATAACATGTGTAGTCTATGACTAAACTGTATTTCCACATTAGAAACTATTAAAAGAAAAAAATCCTATAATTGTGTACCGTAGTTGTTTTGAAGAAATGTGAGTTTTATTTTTATAACTCACATTCTGCATAGCTTGGACACCTCTAGATGCATTACAGATCTATGTTTGACCTCCATGTTGTTGTATCATTGTTTGGAAACTTCAATCCATCCTACAAACCGTTTTAATCTAGCCGATCTTGGTCACTTTGATACAAGCAATATTGAATTGTAAACAAGGAAAAACTATCTGTATAGTGCAATAAGGGATCTCTGTAACAGCTTTTTCAGTTAAGCACTCAACAGATTTTTATGAGTGTGGGGTCATTTTAAAGCTTTAGTTCTAGGGGGACGAATGGTAACGAAAAAGGTAATATGTTTTAAAGCTTCATTTCCCTAGTGTTTGATTATTTTAGAGTTCACTTTCAAAAATCTAATAATGCTGATCAATTTTCTTCAAACAGTTTACATGTAAATTTCTAATATAACAGCTGATCGTTCAGTTGAATATTTAACAGTCAGATTGTAAACAAGAGACAAAAGTTTATGAAAATGGATTTTAAATAGCCTAGGCTGAATTTTTGATAATTGAAACCTACACTAAAACTAGGTAAATCACTAACTAGGTAAACTAGGTAAATCACTTTGGTGTTAATCTGAAATCAACAAATTTACTAGTTTTATTCACATAAACTTAAACAACAATAGGTAAAAAGTGTTTTCGCTTTAAAAACTAGTTTTGAACCCTGTTAAAATTTGCGATTTGCACACAAAGTCCCCTAATCTTATTACTTAAGATATTTTTATTTTCATAAGTTACGAACTATCACTTTACATCAGGTTTTGTAATATTTACGAACATGTTTTATTTTTCAAGTGAAACCACACTAGTACTCGCTGAACCATAACTCTTCATAACTAATAGTTTCTTGAAGTCATCAGTATTCAAGCTTGTAACGCTGAAAGGTCCTAACTGGTGACAGAGTTGTAATATTTCACTGTTGCAATGACGTTCAGAAAATATTTAGCTTTAAGCCAACAAAACTGGACGTGCTTTGGTTTTTAAGTCCAGTTTTGTTTGAATGTTAATTTTGTAAATTGATATCCTTTGGGGATATCTTTGTTTATAAACTGAATGTAAGTTGAGCTAGGTTAGGAATTGAAAATCTTTCAATTATGCTACTATGGTAACTAAAAAGTTAATTTCCCCTGACTTTATCAGAATTCTCATCTATACTTATTTAATACGCAAGCAGGTTTTTTGTGACAATTACTCCTCCGAAACTACTGAACCGAATGACATGTTTTTGGTGTCATTGGAAAGAGAGTAACGTGAAGTTGTGCAGGAAACTTTCTTTTTAGGGAAATAATGAGAGAGTGAGGCCATGGAGCCCTTTAAAGTTTTGTATTTCTCCATAAGATTAACATTGGAAACAAAAATTGTTATGAAACTCCAGCTGTTGTCAGAAATCAAAAGTGAGAAGAAGAGCATATGTTAATTGTAAACAGTCAATAAGTTTGCTAATTTAACAGTTTGCTACAAACTTGCTGACTTGGTTGAAATTTGTTTTAAAATAACGCCTGTAATACTTAGCAATTGCTCGAATTCGAGCAACAGGGACACTAGTTTAAATAAACCTTTATACAGCACTTTTACCAATGCTCCCCAAACAAAATAAAACTAGGCTAATAAAAATTACTAAATAATCTAAAGCTGATCAATTACTGGTGCCGTTTAACAAAAGGTGAACATTAGACAAGACCACTCACAAAACATAATGGAAAGAAGTCAATGGTGTTAGAAAATAAAGAATATTATATGTAGACCATAAAATTATTACAGAAAAAAAAACAAAAGAGAGGATAGAAATTATCCACACACATATCAAATTAATTAGTAACACATTTCATCCCATAATATTTTTAACCTTAGTAAAAAAATTATTCATACACCAGTAAATTTATACTTATTCAACATGAAGTTTATAGAAATTAATTGTAAACTGTTTAAACTATGTTAATTAGACTGTTTTTTCTTAATTAGGCTATATTATATTCTTGTAAATTTAGAATAAAGTTACAGTATTACAATTTCAGATAAGAATGTAGCTAACCTAAATTATAAAAAAACTTCATATTGTGCTAAGGTCCCAGGTTTTTAATGATATAGTTCACACAAATTTTTGTGGTTACAAGAAAAATATTTTTTTATACAAAAAAACAAAACAAAAAATCTGCCTCACTGAAAGAGCATGATAAAGACAAAGGATGTACAAGTGAATAAAATATTGATGCAAAATTCATTTTACAAGTTTTTGTACTATTTTCCACTATGGTTCTGATTCACTTCACGAAGGTCAGATGTGTTAGCCGATGAGGGAGTCTTGTTTGTGTCGTTACGTGATCGATCCCGTTCTCTGGAGTATACCTGGAATAATCGGGAAACTCTGGGAGCAGATAGATAACATGACAAAGTAGGGAATAAACAAATAACAAAATAGGATAGACAGTTATAAGCTGGGAACATTGAATACAATTTAACAACCCTTGCTGCAGCAAAACTGCAGACTAAGTGGATTTCCATTTGCCTTATTAAATTTTTACTCAAATATTTCTCTGTGTCAGATTCAATCCCCTTTTAAGTAACATTAGAAATACTGGGTATTTTCTATAGTTTGGGCCGTTTAGCTCCAAACAAATTTTTAAAAACTTCTCATTATTTCAGTCAACTTCGATATTATTATTTTAACATAAGTTAGACGGCAAAACAATATTTTTGGGTCTGATGACACTGACCACTCAGACTCAGAGTATACTAATAAAGTTCCCCAGGTACTGAGATGTTAACAGCTTAGGATGAAATAAGCAAATTTGATCAGAAAATATCAAAACACAAGCTAACTACATCAATTTACTTATTCTTCGTAAGAACAATATCAGAGTTATAATTGTTCAATTTCATGGAGTTTTCTCTGTAACCTTTAACTACGCTTCACTATACTAAAATTATATTTTTGTAAGCTTAAACGGCTATTAATATTTAAATAACTTCTTAATCAGCATCGTACGTGTTAATAAATTACCTGAAGCACAAAAAATACTTCAAATAACACTTATTATAATATATTTACACTTATACTGTTACCATCTTTTATGTGTATTTACCGTCTTGTGACTAAACAGTATAAGTGTAAAAATATATTATAATACAAAAGTGTTATTTGACATATTTTTGTGCTTTCAGGTATTAATATTTTACTAAAAGACACTTCCACGTTGCAGCAAATCTAAATACTCGTCAGATCAATTGTTATTTAAATATAGAATGAATCTGATAATTTTTAGGAAGTATTCTAGTAAAAATCCAATCAGACAAATGGAAATTTGCTTAGTCTGTCGGTTTCGCTGTGGCGGGCTTATTGTTGTGTCTTGGATACCCCATGAAGCCTACATTGTAAGCTACAATAGTCCTAAATGAATGAATGAATATATAGTTTATTCCAAAAAACATTGGCTACAAACAGTTATTATAAAATCAAATATACTTAACAAAGACTTATGACACTAAAAATACATACAAGTTTTAATGAGCCAAAATATTCAACAATATGGAACTAGCAGACATAGGCAGTTCTACCTGTGCGTCTGCTAAGTTGCTGTCAAATAGAAAAAAGTAAATTATTGAATTTGTGGAATGGCAATTAAAAATAAAAGGGTTGTTATTATTAGTGATGTATGTAAACGTATTTTTATGAACACAGCGCTGGTGAGCTTGCGCATTATAGATTTCGTGGTGGCCAGGAGAGAGAGAGAGAGAGAGACAGACTGTGTGTGCGTGTGAGTTTCGTGTGTATAATGGTGGTAGTGAGGAGAATGGAGAGTGATGAGTGGATTGTTGGGTATGAGTGGTGTAGAAAGTAGTAATTCGACTGCGGACGGTCCAAACAAAGTGCCAAGGTCAGTCAGTGCAAAGGTCGGATCAGGTGCGCCGGTAGTCCGCCGTGATAATAGAATCAGCCTCGTCAATATTTAAACTGAATAGGAAATCATTGACGCG